AGAGAGAGAGAGAGAGAGAGAGAGAGAACAGAGGGAGAGAGAGAGAAGAGAGAAAAAGAGGGAGAGGGAGGGAGAGAAGAGAGATAGAGAACAGAGAGAGAGAGAAAGAGAGAGAGATGGAGGGAGAGAAGAGAGATAGAGAGAGATGGAGGGAGAGAACAGAGAGAGAGGAGAGAGAGAACGAGAGAGATAGGGAGGGAGAGAAGAGAGAGAGAGAGAACAGAGGGAGAGAGGAGAGAAAGAGAGGGGGAGGAGAGCGAAAGAGAGAGAGAGGGAGGGAGAGAAGAGAGAGAGAGAGAACAGAGGGAGAGGAGAAAAAGAGAGGGAGAGAAAAGAGAGTGAAAGAGAGAGATATTTTGCAACACTTTATAGCAGATCTTCAGATTCATATCATAACACCAGAGAAGCTTACACTCTAATATCCTACCACAGTCACACACTATTATACAATTATATAGCTCTGACATATTCCACAGTGCTGTACAGAAAACACAACCGGTCACATCAGTCTCTGTGCCACAGGAACTTAAACTCTAATGTCTTCTACCACAGTCACACACCGTTATTAGTATTATACATTTATGTAGCTCTGACATACTCCACAGTGCTGTACAGAAAACACTGGGCCAGTCACATCATTGTTTACACCAGAGGAGCTTACACTCTAAGGTTTCCACCACAATTACACACTACTATTACTATACAGTAACATAGCTCTGACATATACTGAGGTGCTGTACCGAGGACACTGAGCCAGTCACATCAGACCACCTGTCTCAGCTGGCAGAAACGGCACAGAAGATCTGTTCTATGTTGGAGGGCAGGTTCCATAAAGAGAACCTGTCACCTCCAAACTATCACTTAGGGACTTGTAAGCCCCTGTGTGATGGGAATAAAATCAAGTGAAAAAAAAATCGCTCTCTAACATGCACAATGTGCATTAAAGGGTAAGTTCACTTTCCCACGTAATTTGGGAATATGGAATTACCCGCTCAAATCAAATTACCTTTTGGCGAACAGTCCTTTCCCTCCGCCAGTACGGGTGTGCTATCTGTACCCCGTACTGCTCTCCAGCGCAGCCCTGCACTATGCATTTTGAATTTCGCTCACCAATTGCGAGCACTTGTTTTGACCAAAGAGAAGCGCTATTTAGCACCGTTAAATGCGGTTTTGATTAAAACTATTTCGTGTATTGAGACAAGTAGATTGTCATGAGGGACAAGTAGATCGGGCCCCCGCTTTAGCACCTTGGGCAAGTAGTTTTTTTTTTTACATTTCCACACCTTTCTATCATTATATATATTAATATAGCTATAACATATACTATAGTGCTGTACAGAGAACACTGAGCCAGTCAAACCAGTTTCTGCACCAGAGGAGCTTACGCTCTAATGTCCCCACCAAAGTCACACACTATTATTATTATACATGTATATAGCTCTGACATATACCATAGTGCTGTACTGAGAATACTGAGCCAGAGTAAGCTCCTCTGGTCTCTGACACAGAGGAGCTTACACTCTAATGCAACCAGAATAAGACTTGGTGGCTTTGTCATGCCCGTCCTGTCTTCTGGCTTTGAGTGATCTCCGCCTGCCTGACCTTTTGCAGTGACATTTGACTTGTCTAATAGGTTCTGGACCCCGACGCATTTCTGCTCTACCCCTTGGCGCTGTTTCCAGCATGATAGCTTGACCTTTGGTTTCCACCCTCTGACCTTCTTTCCTTAGAGCCCCCTGGCACTTCCAAATCGCTGGCGTCGCCTTTGGCCTGCGTTTACCTTTTTAGGAACAATTCATTTATTCATCTTCCATGACACATCTTATAACCTTGGGGCACGCAAAAACAGTGCGAGCACATAAAGTTTCCCAGACAGAAAAAAACCATTAAACTTGAAAAAGTGACTGTTTCTTACAGCAATGTCTGAAAAATATGGAACAGCAAACATGAAGATATGTGAAAGTCACAGCAATCATTACTTTCTGATGAACTCTCCAGTATTAGCTGAATGGAGACACTGGAAATCCCCTTGAAAGGAGAACTATGAGGCGAGTGAAAACCACTCAGCCTCATGGTTCGAGCCGACCTGTGACAATGAATCTGTCACACGTCGGTTCTATAGATCGGGAAGTGAGCCAACACATACCGTCGCTCGCTCACTTCTCGATCTATCCCTGCAGAGAGCCGTGACTGTCACTCACTGCTCACTGCAGGGATTCCCCCCCTCCCCTGTCCGATCCTCCAGCGCTGACTGGCAGAACGGACGGGGGAGGGTACAGCTTGCTCTGCCTCTAGATACACAGAGCCAGCTGTCACTCACGCAGCTGGGCGGATCCCGGCAAATTGTTGGGATCCGTCCCGGCTGCAGCGTCTCAGTATACCGCGAGCAGTAGCTCGCGGTATACTGAGCTTTGGGTGACGGGAGAACGCTAGTTTGTGTCCTCCCGTTACCCTTAGGGGAACTATGGGGAAAGGCACTGACCCCGTAGTTCTCCATTAAGTGTGTCTGTTTGCCCTGTGTTAGATTTTGCTGCAGCATATTTATAGCACCGACTGATTGTAAGCGCGGCAGGTTGTGACACAGCTGTCCAAACACATGTCACATTGTGCTGTGTCTATATTACAGCATTTCTTAGCTCTGTCTTTTCATGTGCATAAAACATAACCAGCGTTTCATAAAGGGGGCCTGACTCTTAAAAAAAGCAGAGGTCTCTATAGGTCTGGATTTCTCCTGGGCTGTCCTGAATCTTGTGTATCTGTATACTGTATAGTATAGTGTATCTGTAGCCCAAACCTTTTCCTTCACTTCCTGACCCAGAGACACAACAGGAAATGAAAGGAAATCTCTCCAGGTTGAATGGAAATTACCGCTTAGCTATCACCAGAAACGGGGTCCCAAATGGAAGCTTTTGGGGATTGTGGATTTGCCATGCAGACCACTAAATAAATTTGATGGCGGTTCTTATCCTTCCATGCTCCATGCCAAACTTATAAATAGTAGCGCTTTAGTTATACCTTGACACGTGTGTCTGGGCAAAAAGTAAAAAAATGCAGTACAGTACTTGTTTTTCCTTTTTTATCCCTTCATAAAACGCTGCAAGTACAAAACAAAAATGTTTTTCACCAGAAACCCAATGAGCTCCTAACTTCATGTTGTTGCTGACAACATAATGCGCGTGATACACTGAAATGCCCACTAGGGTTGTCCGCTCCTCCCGCTGAACTACACAACTCTGCCTCTCCTCGCCCCTCTCTGTCCTTCTCCACCTGCATACATTGATTTTTTTCCCCCTGAACAACAGTGCTGCTGCCTTGACTCCTTAAAGCCTGTCCATGCACTGTGGATAGGGAAAAGGCTCTTGGGCATTGTAGTTCTGCGGGTAAGCCTAGACTCCCAAACTCTGTCCACACACTGTGTGTAGGTAAATGGCTCTTGGATGGTTTGGTGATGGGGGCATACCCCGACTCTCAAAGCCTGTCCATGCACTGTGTGTAGAGAAAATGCTCTTGGGTGATGTAGTTCTAGGGGCATGCCTAGATTCCCAAAGCCTATCCATGCACTGTGGATAGAGAAAAGGCTCTTGGGGATTGTAGTTCTGGGGGCATGCCTAGATTCCCAAAGCCTGTCCTCTCACTGTGTATAGAGAAAAGGCTCTTGGGGATTGTAGTTCTGCGGGCATGCCTAGACTCCCAAATCCTGTTCATGCACTGTGTTTAGAGAAAAGGCTCTTGGGTAATGTAGTTCTGGGGCATACTTAGACTCCCAAAACCTGTCCATGCACTGTGTTTGTGTTTAGGGAAAAGGTTTTTGGGTGATGTAGTTTCTGGGGGCATGCCTAGATTCCCAAAGCCTGCCCATGCACTATGTATAGATAAAAGGCTCTTGGGTGATATATCTGGAAAAAATAAGTCAAGGCAATCCAATTA